TATTAAGTAGGGCAGCAATGATTTTTGCATATCACCCATTTTATATGAGCTTTTTCTGAATGTGGGGCATAAAAGTGTACAAAAAGGATAGCTCTAAATCTCTTTTGGAAAAGTTTAGTACCATCCTTAGATTTACAATATATGCCTCACATATTTTATTTTGACACAATGTACATATATGGATGTTTTGAGTATCAAACATTATATATGTTAATACACACTCATAGCAATATTGATAAAAAATTGTCCTTTTTTTTCCATGTTCTCACTTTTTGATCAGTCCCCCATGCAGGATCTCCATGTTTAAACACTTCATGGGTCACTTGCAGTGTAAATCTGTTGTCTGCAAATATTGAAGAAAATAACATATATTATAAAACTTTCATGGCAAAGAAAGATTCAGTAGATGGATATAGGCCTATAGAGTTGTTAATTTATGCTTCTTGTAGCTAGCTGTGGCACATTTTTTGTGAAAAAAATCATTGGCCTGTTATACATTACTGTTAATGTCCATGTTGTTGTTTCCTTGACTGTCATGTACAAACTTGATATCAGAAGTGGAGGGATCAGCCATGTCAGCCTGAAGGTAAAGTACCAGGAAACCCTTTGTCTTTTCTGTCAAATAGGAAACTATAGATATTATCTTAGACTGACCAAGGCTGGGCTCATCACTAATGTGGTTTAGAGAAAACAGAAAAGAGTTGACCCATGGTGACCTGAGATCCTCCTGTCTTCAGAAATGATAGAAAAGTAGAAGATATTAGTTTGTTATTAATTGAAGTTTCAGTAGTCTTATTTACCAACTTTCAAGGAATTTCCAACTCTTTCCTTCATTCTCTCTATTACCTTGGGTCAACTTTTCCTCTTTGTATATGAATCTTACACAGAAAAGAATCTTGCTGATGATACTAGTTATTTTGAATACTCGTAAGATCTAGTAATGTGAAAGACACTGCTTTGTATAAGAAAAATGTATGGAGGACTCTTAAGAGTTTCCCGTTGCTAGTCATGATATGTTAGAATTGCTCTTTTATTTCAGTTTTAAAAACTCAAGATAGAATAAATTAAGAAATTATTATGATGTTCTTCTAAGAACAGTAGTATCTTTGTGTTGAAGTGGGCCAAAGTCAAGGTTAGGCAGGTGGTGTTTTTGCTTTTTCACATTGGAGTTCCCTGTGTATATGTTGTAGAATATGCAAAAGAATTTTCAAAATTCATTGCATATTATCTCTTTGAGCATCAAATTGCACTTATTGAAAGAAAAGAAAGATTATCAAACTGATATGCTGAACAAAGACAGCAGTTTGCCCAAATTGGTAATATTCATAATGTGCAAATTTCCAGATCAATACCTTTTCCATTTCTCTCTGTGCAAGGAAGGATTTAAATTTGCTAAGAGTTTCATATTTTGGTTTTCACATAATATCTTGTATTTTCTCTAGAGGATAAAGGGAAGAGGCTCATGGTGTTTTAATCATGTCATAGTGCTGAAATGGATTTAACAAGTTATCTGTCTTCTCCATTTGATTATTGGTTGATGTGTCTTACATTCTGCACTGTGTGTTAACCTTTTGGAGTAGACTGATTTGTGACATTTTGCATAATTTCCTTTTGAGGCCTAATTTGAAAGGTCATTGTCTTTTCCTTGCATTTATCTAATTTTGTATTTGCATGTAATGCCAGGCCTCCTCATTTTCCAAGTTGGTTTTCTTTTGCATTGTATGGCATTGTTTGTGAATCCAAGTAATACTCAATAATGCTCTCTTGGTATAATAAGTTGGATAGTGATCTGCATCAGATGTTTTTTCTCGTCTTTTTTTCTCTATATATGTAAGTTTCTGAAGAAATTGAACATGGTTATTGAGGGTTTTTTCTCTTCAAGATTTAGTATCCCTTTGTAAAGGAAGTCAGAGCACTGGAGTTCTTAAAAGTTATTTTTCACTCTATATTTTATATATAATGTTTTCAATTTTTACCCCATAGGTTTTTTATGTGACTAGGTAATTTGATTCATTCTTTCTTACTATATTTCTCCTGTAACAGTAGTGTGGAAACCCTTATGAGCCTTAGTACAGTTTTTTTTGCGTGTGTATGTGTGTGCGTGTGTGTGTGTGTGTGTGCGCGCATGTGTGTACGTGCGTGTGCGTGTGTGTCATGCACGCACGTGTGCATTTGTCACATGTGAATGTGTGTGCACACATTTGCTTGCTTGCATGCGTGCATAATCATGTGGTTTTGTACACATGGGTATCTATGGTTCTACTTGTAAGTATGTTTGAGTTACAAGTTAGCATATGTGTGTTTGCTCACTGGTGTACATACAATGTTGATGTATATGCATTTATATTGTTACAAATAAAGTGATGATAGGAAATTGTCTCTTTTCTTTCCTTTAGTTTGATATCAAGATACTATCAAAAAAATTTTACTCTAGGGGCCTACAATGAAAATCATGATAGAATTTCAATCTTCATATTACTTACAGGGATGATGACATATA